GTTGGTGGGAGGAGGGAAGCCACCAGATTGGCCTACTGAAAGGTACTCAATCTTTCAGCTAAGACAATTTGATGAATGGAGAATAGCATTCCAGACCCTGCTCAACCTGTACAAATATTGGGTTATGCTCCTGGATTTTCAAAGGTTTATGAATTTGGTATTTCAAGATTTGTTCAACCAAAGAACAATGGCTTGTCCTGTTGATATCATCTTCTCCTCCTTACACTCTCATGTGCAACACTGAGTTGGTCTGAGTATCCTCTAGTGCCCCCACTAACACGGCTATTAACCAAACTAGTGAACAGCCAATTTCAGAAGGGGCTACTCTCAGTCAAACCACATATGAGTTATACCATCAGAATGGAGCATAATATTCTAGCATCCTTAACACCAACCATTAAGAGCCTGGAGCATCTTTAGACCATCTTGCAGTTCAATCAACCCCAGATTTGTTGGGGTCTCTTTGGTAGTATAATTGACTTTTTTATCACCTATGTTCCAGGACACTGAAATCTGTGGACAGATGCATTGTCAAAAAAGCCTGAGTTTTGATACCTAACAGGCCGTTTCCTAGAGACTATGGATTTTGTAGACATTGAATGTTAACTAATTTTACTAATTCAGCAAAGGTTTGCCTATATAGAATCCACAGATTGGATTGGTGACAGCACCTCTGTCCACCTTTTAAACAGGCATGGTGCCTACACTGGAGGAAATGTTAGTCTCTGTAGACTCCTACAACTGTACTCACACCCCACCTCCTAGCTAGGCTTTATGGGCAGTGATCTGTCTAATATTCCTGACTGTGGGCCGGGGAACTTAATGCCATGCAGGTGGTTGCCTGAGACTTTACTGGCCGTAATAAAACACATCTTCTAATGTGTCAAATCTTGATAATCATTTGCTTAGGCCAATGACCGAGTAGCAACCAAGCAATGCTTGGCAACTTTTATCATTTCCATTCCTGGGTGGCAAGAATGTTCACTTTCATTAGAGACCTGCACCATCCCATGATTATGATGGTGCCTTGGGGTGGGGTAGGCAGGGTAGGTGAGGGGTGGTAGACACCTTGGTCAGTTAAAATTATTTACTTCCTTTGTGTTGGATGTTGTACCATGGCTTAACCTATGTGCCTATTCCTGAACAAAATTTCCTGGATCTTCATATCACCTCCATTTTATCTCACACTATTTGACTACACCATTCATGGCACCCAAATAGAGAAAACATCCTAGCTGCTTTGGGTGGGTGGAGGTGGTATATAAAGGGCAGACTCCAAGTTGAAATCTCAGAAAGATGGATACTTGGGACATAGAATGGGGCTAGAAGAATTTTGTTGATAAGGGGCAGGATTTCTTGAGTTTGAGTTCTTTATGTTGGAGTCTCAGTTGGGCCATAGACCTGAAAGACTAAATTTAAGTGAGTGGAAAGTAAGCCAGGAAAGCACAAAGAAATGTATTCTTTTGCCTTTTCCAATCTTGAGAACTGGAGAAAAATAGAAATGAATGATAGAGGGAAAAAATTTAAGACCAAAATTGACAAATCTAGTTATCTTTGATGCTTATATGGAGTCAAATTTTTTTAAACCCAATTGGAGGATTTAATATTATTTCTTTTAAATTCCTTCTTATTAGTTTTGGGAGATGTCTAACCTACTGAGACATTTTTTCTATTTTCATTCGATCACTTAGTAAGTTAGCAATTTTCCCTAACTTTGTGTCATTCACAAATTTGATTAGCATGTTCCTGAGCTCCATCCCACATCACCAATGCCTATTGAATATTTCCCACTGGACATGCCTTAGGCATCTCAAATTAACATGTCCAAAATACGACTTGTCGTTTATCCGAAACAACACTCCTGGTTTCGTGGGCCCTTCCAAACCACTCTTCTTCCTAACTTTCTTATTACCATTGAGGACATTGCCATCCTTCTAGTCCCCCAGATTTACAACCTCACTGTTAATTTTTCCTTACCCTACATGTCTAAGAGATGACCAAAGCTTGTCAATTCATCCTCAACAGCATTCCTCTCATTTGTTGCCTTCTCTTTTCTTACGTAACTACCATTATTGTTTAGGCCCTCGGCACCTCTTGCTTGGACTTTTGCAAAACCTCTCACTTAGTCTCCTTGATTCAATCCAACTTCAACCCAGTGGTCAAAGTGACATTCTGGAGCACAGATATAATTCAGTTATTCATCTACTCAAAAAACCTACGGTGGATCCTTATTACCTTTAGGATAAAATACAAGCACTTCTAGAAACCCTTTATAATTTGCCTCCAGCTTGCCTATCCAGGCTTATTACATTATTTCTCTTCAATCATTCTACCTTCCAGCCAAATTGGACAACTTGCCTTTCCTTCTTCACCTAACATTCTGTTCCCCATGCCTGGAAGGCACCGGCTCCTCACCCAGACAGCTTAGAATTCTTCGTTCCCTTCAAAGCTCGGCTTGAGTAACAGTCCTAGCAGGCTTTTCCATTATTTCCCTCAGTTGCTACTCCCTTCCTCCTCTAATTACTTTGTATTCACTGTATTCATATTTTGTATTTACTTAGTTGTAGGTATAGAGGCAGCTGGGCTAGGAGTCAGGAAGATCTGAGTTCAAATCCAGCCTCAGACATTTACTAGCTGGGTGACCCTGAGCAAATCACTTAACTTTGTTTGCCTTAGTTTCTTCATCTATAAAATGAGCTGCAGAAGGAAATGGTAAACCACTCCAGTATTTTTGCCCCGAAAACCCTAAATGGGGTCAGGAAGTGTCAGATACTACTGAAATGACTGAACAAGAGCTGTATATATGTATAGAATGGAACATAAATCCCTCAAGGGCAGACAGAGTCTGTTTTGTTTTCTTTTTATCTCCAGGGCCCAATACAGTGCTTGGCACACAGCAGGTGCTTAATAAATGCTTATTGATTGACTGAAGGAAATAAGAAATGAAGGAAGGAGATAACCTTAATAGTCTCAAGTTTCCCAAGAATACTGCTCCTGATCTATAAGTCTGAGCCTTATTTTTCATGCAAAATCTTTTAAGTACTTATCCCTTCCAGATTGCTACTTTCCCAATTGAGGTTTTGATATGTCCCAGGTGGACATAAAAAACTAAATGGGAATTTCAGAGGAGTTTTGCAGAAGCCACAGACAACATGCGAACCAGACGACACAGAAAAAGTTTAGAAATTCAGAAATGTATAAAATATATAAAATCAACCCAAATTTTACAGTAAGGTACTGTAAACACCCCACAAAATAAAAAGAAAAGATTCACACTTCTTCTCTGATATGAAAGGAGGACCAAAAAATTTTACTGAGATTTTCCAGATCATGAGGGCATGGCACCCCTAACCCCTACAGCATGGAAGGGACAACTGTAGTTCCCTAGAGTGCTAGGATCTCTCTATTAGTATTTAAGGTAATATGAATACTGTTTTTCAAGTGTAGGAGCATGGGTGGAGAGAGAACATTTGAGGTGAAAGAAAAAAAAGATTTGCTTGAAATCTGAATAATACCCCAAAACTCTTAAAATTTTTGCTTAAGGTCTTTAAGGTCAGACTTTTGTAGGGGAAAAAAGAGAATATTTGTAGTGCAGAAAAAGGGAGGTCAGCTTGTTATTACTGAGAACTGATTAATGATGAGGTGTCTGGACTAAATCAATTTTGCCTCTTTCAGTAAATTTATTCTCAGTGCTTCAAGCAGTAACTCAAGGATTAGACAACATTGGGAGACTGCCACAGTGAGAAGAGCACAGGATTTGAAGTCAGAAGGTCTAGGTTTGAATCATGCTTCTGTGATTTCAAATCCTATTTCTGGCACTTACTACCTGTGTGACTATAGGTAAATCACTTAACCCGTGGGTCTCAGTTTCCTCCTCTCTAAAATGGGAATAATACATGTGCTACCTGTCTTTTAGGGAAGCCATGAAGATCAAACGAGATAATATGAAAATGTTTCTGTCACTATAAAGTAGTGTTTGGCTTTGGGACTGGACCTGTGATTTCACTGCTATAAGGAGCTCCTGGTGAGGGAATTGCCTCTATCTATGCAGGTGAACACTTGTGCTGCAATTTATAGACTTAGAGAGTTGTCTGAGGCATTAAGAAGGAAAATGACTTGCCCAGGGTCATACAGGCAAAGTGGGTCAGAGATAAGACTTGAATCTAGGTCTTCCTGGCTCTAAAGACACCTCTCTACCCGATGCCATGATGCCCCTCTTGAAAAAGTGTATAATACATTACACAAGAATAATAATGAACAACAAAGTACTTAGTAGATTTTAGACATAAATTTAGATTACTTTCATGGGGGCTTGGGGTGAGGAGTCTAATATTCATAAGAGACCACACAGATACTAGCAATGGAATCAAATTCTTCTAGTTCAATAGTCTTTGCAAAGTTATTGGTCTTGTAATATGGCTTCATGAAATATATCATATAGGTGGTGCAGAAGATAGAGCACTAGCCCTGGAGTCAGGAGGACCTGAGTTCAAATCTGGTCTCATACACTTGACACCAGCTGTATGACCCTGGGCAAGTCACTTAACCCCAATTGCTTCACAAGAGAAAGAAATAAACTTATCATGCAATCCTCCAAAAGGCATGTCTTCCTTTTAGATAGCTTAGTTATCTCCTTATCTGACCAGTTAATTTTGTTTCATGTTTTTGTCCTTTATCACTCCATTGTTCTTCACCCATTGGCCAACTAAACTACAGTAAGTCTGATTGTTATTGCTAGCAGTGGAATGAGCTCTGCTCTAATCAAGCCTCTTATTACAAATGCTTCCAAGGCCAAGCTGTTACCCAGAAGAAATCCCTATTTACTATGGAAATTCAGCATAGACCTTTCAGAGATTTGGTACATTTGGGCCAAGATAAAATCAGTCATAGGTAGAATTCTAACCCTTCACCTTTCCTTACCACCCTTTTCTTCTCATGCTGCTTTCTTTTTCATGTTGACTTTCTTCATGCAGTGAACAATATTATCCCCCCTCTGTTACCTGGCTGGCCTCTGGCATGTGAAGGAACTTTGGCAGGATTCAGTTGGTGCTCTGGTCTCCATAGTAATCACTTGCTGCAGTTCTGATGCCGAGTCCTCACATGGGGAATGAGCCCTATGAAATGAAATGTGTAGCCAGCTGATTTGATTACCAACTCACCATACCCTGGAGTGCCGACAGAAATAGGGTGACCATGCCCGGCTAGCTCCACCAGGAATAGCCCCACTGGGAATCCTGGACACAGGGGGCTCACTGAACACTCAGGTCAAGCCCTTCTTTCTGGGAACCACACGTGCCTGTTTTTTAGTGTTTGGCCCACCATGATACTGGCAAGCGGCAACATTGCTCAAACATCATGGGCTGAGTGGGACAAATTTCTGAAGCATTCATAGTATTTGCTGTATACAGTGGCTCTTTATGAGAAGCTCTAGCAATAAGTTTTACTTATGCTCCTTACCCTGAAAATACAATTATGCTTGACCTAGAATGTGAAAGAAATACTTTAATGATTAATCATGTTATGGTTTAGTGTTTTATTCTTTCCTGTAGCCTGATTACACGCCTTTGTCACCTAGCTTATTATAGGGGCAGCTAAGTGGTACAGTAGAGAGGGTGCTGGGCCTAGAGTAGGGAAGACTCGCCTTCTTGAGGTCAAATCTGGGCTCAGACACTTACTAGCTGTCTGACCCTGGGCAAGTCACTTAACCCTGTTGCTTCAGTTTTCTCAACTGTAAAATGAGCTGGAGAAGGAAATGACAAACAACTTCAATATCCTTGCCAAGAAAACCCCAAATAGGGTTACAAATAGTTGGATACAAGTGAAAAATGCCTCCCCAACGGTGACTCTTTTATATACTTATTATACGTTTCATGTTAATAGTCATTTGTATGTGCGTCAGCTCCCTGGTTGTAAGTTCTGTGAGGTCAGAGAAGATATACCTAAACTTTCTATCTCCAGCACCTAGCACAGTGTTCTGCACACAGAAGGTGCTTACTAATTGTTGGTTGAATATTTTAAAGCTTGAATTTTTTATTATGAAATTAATTAACAAATATGAACATTTCAGCATACAAAGAATAAGTTTTTAAAAAGGGTTGTGTGTGCACAATAACAGCCATGTTATACAATGACTAAGATTGTTAAACTGAACCCTTCTCAGCATTATGAGGATCTAAGACATCTCCAGAGGCCTCAGGATAGAAAATGCTGTCCACATCCAAAGAAAGAACTATGGAAGTCGAATCACTATCACTTATTTTTATCTTCTGTTGAGTTTTGTTTCATCTTTCTGATGGTTCCTCCTATTGGTTTTAATTTTTACTTACAACTTCACTAATGTGAAAATATGTTTAATGGGTATGTAAATTGTAAAGCCTATATCAGATTGTGCACCGTCTTGGGGAGAGCAGCGGGGAGGAAGGGGGAGAAAAATTTTCAACTCAAAAGCATACGGAAGTGATTGTTGATAAATCAAAATAAATTAATTTTTAAAAAAGACTGAAAAAAAATAAAAAGGGTTGTGTGATCCTGGGTAAGTCACTTAACCTGAGGCCCAGGTTCCTCATCTGTAAAATGGGGATAATATCTACCTATTAGATGTCAAGAGGCTCAAATATGATAAGTTGTTTTGCAAAATTAAGGCGTTCTATAAATGCCAGTTACTACTTACTTGCAAACATCTCTTCAATTTAATTCTCCCTTCCCCAAATACTTGAGCCTGCTCTGTTTCTTTCCCTGTTTCCTATTTTGATCTCAATTATTTTCCCACCACTCTCATTTTCTAGATAAAAGAAGCTTCCCAGGACAACAACTCCTATGGGCGTTAGGGAAAAGGAACCAAGAGGTTTGGGGTTATGCTCCATAGTTTGGCAATAGCAGAGATCAGGCTATTAGGTCAGAGCCCCCTTGCCTCCTCCCATCATACATTTGTCACCTTTTGTCCCTCTGCTCACACCATACCCCAGAACATATCTGTGAAGGCTTCTTTGGACCAAGCCTGGAGAATCAAGGACCTTTTTGGACCTTATTCCCACAATCAGTGAGTACTTACTGAGTCCTGGGCATGTTATTTCCTTTTTCCTGAAAATAGTATCACTTCCTTCACTCCTCCACCAGAATGTAAGCTCCCTCAAGGCTCTGTGTGTGTGTGTGTGTGTGTGTGTGTGTGTGTGTGTGTATGTTTTAATTTGTGTGTCCTCATTGCCTATCCTAACTGTTTTATGTTTAATTGAATTCACGCAGTCAAGCAATGCTTACCAAGTGGCTACTATATGCCAGACTGTGGAACATAACCCCAAACTCCTAAGTTCCTCTTCTCTCACTCTATCTACTTTGCCATAAATAAACACTTGTAAAGAACACAGAAGAAAACACCAAGAAGTGCAGAAGGAAACACAAATTGGGAAATTTTGTTACTATAGTGTTGACATTTATCATACACTTAAAATATGATGGAAGTTCACAGTTTGATATATAACAACTCTCTTTTAAAATTTTTCTTTGTATACTGAAATGTTCATATTTGTTGATTAATTTAATAATAAAAAATTAAGCTTTAAAGTATTCAACCAACACTTACTAAGCACCTACTATGTGCAGAACGTTGTGCTAGGTGCTGGAGATAGAAAGTTTGGGTACATCTCTGACCTTACGGAGCTTACAATCAGGGAGCTGACACACATACAAATGGCTATTAACATAAAACATGTAATAAGTATATAAAAGAATCACTGTTGGGGAGGCATTTTTCACTTGTATCCAACTATTTGTGACTCTGCTGTGCATTGGGAATACAAAGAAAGCCCCCAACAAAACAAAACAAACCAGTCCCTGCCATCAAAGCGCTTACAGGCTAAGGGGCAGATAACATGTGAAGTGCTATGTACAAGTAAACCATGCAAGCTAAACTGGGGAATAGGCTCAGAGGGAGGCTCTTAGATGAAGGAGGGCTGGGAAAGGCTTCTTGCAGAAGGTGAGGCTTTATCTGAGACATAAAGGAAGCCAGGAAAGCTAAGAGGCTGTGATGAGGGAGATGAGGAAGGAGAGAATTTCAGGGATAGGGGACAATGAATAAAAATGCTTGGAGCCGGGAGATGTCCTAACCCCTTTTGCCTGGCTCTGCCTTTTCTACTCTCTTGGTGAACCCATCAGTTCCCATGAGTTCAACTATCAGCTGTAGACATATGACGCCCAAATCTACAAATCCAGCTGTCATCTCTCTTTTGTGATCTAATTCTGAATCTCCAATTGTCTGCCATACGTGTCCACCTTGATCTCTCAATTCAACAGTACTTGCTACCTTTCTCACATTTGCCCCTTTTCTAACTTTTCTTACGTCTGATGAGGGTTGTTGCTGTTTAGTCATTTTTTTTCAGATCCCTTTTGGGGTTTTCTTGGCAAAGATACTGGAATGTTTTGCCATTTCCTTCTCCAGCTCATTTTGCAGATGAGGAAACTGAGGTGAGCAGGGTTAAGCGACTTGCCCAGGGTCACACAGCCAGTAAATGTCTGAAGTTGGATTTGAACTCAAGTGTTCCTGACTCCAGGCTGGGCTCTCTATCCACTGCACCACCTAGCTGCTGATAAGGGCACTACCCTCTTTCCAATTATCCAGTTTCCTAAATTCAGATTCACATCCTGACCTATCTTGGAAACACCTTATACCTACCATTCTTTTGCTAGATATTTCCTTTGCTCCCATCACACTCTACCTTGTATTACAAAGATCTGTGCATGTAGAGTATCCCTCATTCTATCTTATAGTATAATTATTTGTTGTTTGCAGAGTATTCCCTCCCTTCCTCCTAGAATATAAGCTACCTGACGCCAGGGGCCACGTCATTGTTTGTCCTTGTGTTCCAGGCACAGGGTCTTACTATTGTTTGATAAATTGAATTAAATTTACATTGGCCTATCTTGGAAGCTTTGTGCATCTTCTTGGGGTTTATTGATGTCAGCTCATGTTTTTACTGGAAAAGAGGCCCTTTGCTTCAGTTCCATGACAGAGGGATTTGTCTTCATTTACTTCTTATTCCTCCATAATAGAGCTGGCATACAAACAGAGGCATGCCAAGTTGGTGTGGCCTGGGCTCTTTGGGACACTGAAAAATCAGGCTGTAATTCTAGTCCTCTGAGACACTTAGATCCTTAAAAACACAGAGGCAGAAGACATGTCATCTTCAATTCTTCACTCTCTCTCATACCTGTATCCAATGGGTGACCAAGGCTTGTCTAGTCTATCTTAGCAACATTTGCCCCTTCTCTCCTCTGATGCTTGTCACCACTCCAGTGCAGAACCTCAATCACCTTACAGTTGGATTAGTGCAATAGCTTGCTGATGGGTCTGCCTGCCCTTGAGTCTCTCCCCAATCTAGTCCATCCTCCAGGCATCTGCCAAGAGAATCTTCCTAAAGAGTAGGTCTGGCCATACTAAGTCCTTTTCCCCCATCCTATCAACTCCAGTGGCTCTCTATTACATCCAGAATCAAAAATAAAATCCTCTGTTTGGCTTCTAAAGCCCTTCATAACCTGGCCTCTTCCTACCTCCCTATCCTTCCATTCACCTTACACTTTACTCCCTCCTATACCAAGTCAAGGCAACCAGAATTTATTAAGTGGTGCCAACTATGTTCCAGGTACTGTGCTAAGTGCACTTGGATACAAAAAAGGCAAAAACCCAACAAAACCAAGCCCCTGCTCTCAAGGAGCTCACAGTCTAGTGGGAGTGACAAAATACAAACAACTATGTATAGGGTAAATTGGAGATAATCTTAGAGGGAAGGCATTCTTAAGATAAAGACTGGGAAAGGGTTTCTTGTTTTTTGTTTCTTTTGGAGTCAATTGGGGTTAAGTGACTTGCCCAGGGTCATACAGCTAGTAAGCATGTGAAGCTGGAATAGAATTAAGGTCTGCCTGACTCCAGGGCTGGTGCTCTATCCTCTCCAACCACATAGCTGCTCCCTGGGAAAGGCTTCCTGCGGAAGGTGTTACTCTAGCTGAGAGTTGAAGGAAGCTGGGGAAACCAGGAGGCAGAGATGAGGGTGGACAGAGTTCTAGGATAGCTAGGAAAGATGCCCAGAATTGGTTGTATTTGGTTTTGATTCTTTAATTACTT